TTTTGTGGCAATTTCCTTAAAATTGCTTAAAATTTCCTTTATTTTGCTGTGAACTTTTTTGACCTCAAGAACCTTTTTAATTTATGAAAAGGAAACACAAGAGAAGTTTGAGTGTTTAGGTTATTGCACACAAAATCCAACATTTGTCTATAATTTTCACATGTTAAAAAAATAAATAAAAAATCGTATCGATACACTGCCTACGAAACCTTTGTCCGTCATAAAAAAACTTTCGGTTGATTTGTTTATATAAATATATTTTTATTATATTTATTTCTTTTTCTTTTTTTTTTTTTACATCGAAAAGACATTTTGAGAGGTGTTTTGACAAATCCGGGCTGTCATAAAAGGAAAAGGCAAAATCCCAAACGGTGTGAAAAATGAATATACGAAAAACAAATATACTAGAATACAAATGTTCCATGGCTTATTGTAAGCTGTTTTTTTTTACATGTTTGGTTTTTCTTTTGTCAAACAAAGAGAAGACGACAAAATCGTCTTCACTACTCAAAGACTCCATTTTGTATTGTTTTGCGAATTCTTTTGCCGTGGATTAATTAATACGCATCAGACTCTGTGCGCAAGATTTATGTGTGAAACGAATTATTCAGATTTGAATATGGAAAAAAAATGCATACAAAAATTACGGACTTCAGTGTGCGAATTATTTTGCCACCGATTAATTAATATGTATCAGACTCTGTGGTTTGTGTGTGACATGAATTTTTTGGATTTGAATACGGCAAAAAAAAAAAAACGCATATGAAAATTCCGAACTTCAGTTTGCGAATTATTTTGCCACAGATAAATGAATGCGCATCAGACTCTGTGGTTTGTGTTCGTGACGAATTTTTCGGATTTGAAAACGGGAAAAAAAAAACATGAAAATTCCGGACCTCAGTGTGCGAATTATTTTGCCACAAATTAATTAATACGTATCAAAATTTGTGGTTTGTGTGCGTGACAAATTTTTCGCGTTTGTTTACAGGAAAGAACAACACATACGAAAATTTCGGACTTCAGTGTGTTTTTCGTATATTCATTTCATTCATTCATTTAATTATATTAATTTTCCACGCCACTTTGGATTTTGCTTTCGCTTTACGACGGCCCGGATTTGTCATAACACCTCTTAAAATGTCTTTTCAGATGTAAAAATATATAAATAAATTATATTTATATAAACAAATCAAACTAATCTGATTCAAGTTTTTTTTTGTGTTTCGGAGGTAGTGTATCGATACAAATTTTCTAGAAAAAATCAGATACAGTCACAAAATCAGAGTTGACCTTTAATATATGCCCTGTAAATGTAGCGTAAATATCATTTAGTGATGCATTATGTATTCTTTTTCCCCCTTCCCATTGAACACAGGATCCTGTTTCTGAGACAGCAGATCAAAGAACTCGACAAGCTGAAGAATCAGAACTCGTTCATGGTTTGAGAGGCGGTCGTGGAGCTCACGGCAAGTCTCTCTCCGAACCAGTCCGCGTTCGGACCCCGGCTCTCAGCCCCCCGAGCTCTCAGATCCGCAGCCCCCCAACGGCAGGCTGCAATTCCAGCAACGGGAACCGAGAGGAAAAGGAAGCCCACAAAAAAAGGCCATTTAATTTCGCTCTCCTTCGATGTACATGGCTTCTCTATTCCTAAGATCCACAGGCAATTAAAGAGAGTTCTCGAACCAGTGATGGAAACATGCAGTGGATCTGCTGCTCCATATACTGCTTCTTTAAGGCCATGCCTGTGATTTTTCTGTCACACTGGAGGCTTAATATCCCCCCCCTTAACTCCAGTGGTTGACAGGAATTTGAATGAAGGGCTATCTGTGCACAAGGGACGCTTCCGGATGCGCTGGTATTTAATAAAGTGACCAAGTTAAAATAAACCCAATACACACCCATTCGATCGAGTTGGGCATTCCTTGGGAAATAGGAATGTAAAAGTGATCTTCCTTAATTGATGGTGGGTGCCGATGATTTCTCTCATTACTGACGTGGCACTTAAAAGCTTTCGCCGAAGCGGTAGACGCACATTTTGAGTTTTGCGACGCCCCCGATTAAAAGGGTTTCGTCACTTTCTGCCTTCGATGTTTCTCGTTCTTCGCAGTGCTGTTACACATCTAACTGAGATTACTTTTCATGCTGCACTCTTAGTTTTTGTACTAATGTCGTTTTTTTGATTCGTTCGTAACTGTTCACTTCTTACTCGGCATTGATTTCAGTCATTCCCGTCTTTGCGGAGCACAGGAGGAAGAAATAAGTGTTTAAATAAGTGCACTAAGCAGAGAGGACCACGAGGACAGTCCATGCCAGGGTATGCATTTTTTCTTTTTACATAAAAAATAAATCAACCAGTCTTTAAAACTGAACTGTAAGCATTTAGTCAACTTGTCAGTGTGTTTGGCGAGTATGTGGAGGAAATATAAAAAAATAAAAATAAAAAATGGCATATTTGGTGATTCCTCTTTGATGTTTGCAATGTCATTCTTAGGTTTTCGCTCCATTTTTTCTGTCATCACTGCCCTCTAATGCAGGGCTTTCGAACTTAGACCAATTTAAATGCTATAGACTGTAAATGAAGTTCACTTTCAGAATAGAGATGATGATGATGATGATGCTTTGTATATGGTTTCTAAAGGCTACATGAAATAAACAGTTACCACATTATGCTTTTTTTGTAGACGTTTGCTTGTTTAAATGTTAGGGTTACATGTAATCATGAATTAACAATCTCAAAACATGCATAAGTGTCCAATGCTCGCCCTCCTGTGGAATAAAGCGGAACTTGCTATTGGTATCTGATTTTTGCTGTTTTGTCTAATTGATATTTGTGCAGAAAATGAACATTCGCAGCAAAGTTAAAGTAAAATAATTATATATGCACTGTGAAAAGTTTAGTTCATTAACAGTTTTTGCATTTTATTATTCACAAGTGTGTTTCGTTTATAATTTAACTCTACAGTTTAACAAAGTGACTTTTAATGACATTTTTGTAATTTGAAATAATATAATGTTTAAGAAATTCTATATATAAAATGTACAGAAAATTTCAATTGCAAGGTTTTTGTACCTTAATTTAGGCTAAAACACCATTGAATCACTCTAAACTTTTAAAATCAGTAATAAAAGTCACTTTTTTGGAAGAACGAACAATGCCCCCATATATATATATATATAT